CCGCCGAATATGCCGAATACCAAATATGAAACGAATATTCAGCCCATCTCTAGCTATAATATTATGGTTGTAGTACGAATGGGTCGGCTCGACCGAGGAAGGACCACGCTCTCACAAAATACTAGCCTGATGTAGCTGTTCTGCTTAGTGGTGAATACAGAGAATCAGATACCCATTTTACTGGAAACGATGTATTCTACCCTTGTCCTCAAGGATGACAACGCATCTGCATTTTGATTCTTAATAGAGGATAGGTTTTTTTTGATGAGATATAAATGTATATGAACCACAGCATCCACTTGCCATCAGGTGGTGTCAGCTAATATGTAATCATGTTTCTATAAAAAAAAATCCGTCTCTCTCTTTAGTTCAGATTCGTTATCTATATACGTTATATATCTACAAATAAATAAAATTGAAGTAGCTGTCTATAATATCAAAGTAATTGCTTTTTATCGAACACCCGCACACACATACAAAACATGGGTAGCCATTTTTTTTAATTTTTGTCTGTGTATATAAGTCATTATAATATGTACTTTTATCATAAAATACATAGTGTTTAATATTAAATGAATAAAGTTTATAAATTAACATGTTTATATTATTTCTACATTTAGTTTCAAAATTGGTAACACATTGTTTTCATATATTCTAATGCTTATATATTGTAGAATTAATGCCCAAATGGATTTAAATACACAATTAACTTTACTGTATTATTTTGAGGTTATAAAATGTAATGATGGAGTTTGTCAATTCCGCGCTCTGGGCGCGGTATTATCAATCAGGGCGCCAAATTGTAAACTATGTTTTTTTTAGATGGATAAATCTGTGCAGCAAAAAAGAGAAGTGGAATCTAGAAAATAAGAGGGCTGTTTTAGTGATTATAGAGAACGGTAGCAAAATAAAGACAGCTGTTAAAAACTTTGATGTCCCGAATTCCACAATTAGGGATCGATTAAGATTGGGAGAAGATTATCGATTAAGATTGGGAGAACAGTAGCTAGAAGAAAAAAAACAAACTAAACAAAATTCTGTTCAAAGGAAAGTTATGAATAGCAGTGAAAAAGTGAGGATGAAGACTATCTGAAAAACAAAAAGACAAAGCACGCAAAAGAAAGAACGAGACGTAAAGTGATCAGCAGCAGTGAAGATAGTGAGGATTTTTTTTATAGGATAAGGTGACAAACGAGCACACAGTCCACCTGATGGTAAGTAGTTGCTGTGGCCCATAGACATCTACATGTATCGTCGATTGCGAATAAAAATGCAGATGCGTTGTCACCCGTGAGGACTAAGATGGAATGCCTCGTTTCCAGTGCAAAGGGTCTCCGGTTCTCTACACTCACCATACAAAAACCAGCAGCATTAAGATACTATCTGACGCTGGTATCCTGTGAAATCGTGATCCTTCCCCGGTCGAGCCGACCCATTCGTGCTACAACTATACTACTAATATAACTGCAGCATGGCTCTACCACGTAAAAAAAAATGATATTCTCATCGCTCAGTTGTGTGATGATGATGAAGAAATGTGGGTAATGTGTTGTACTTAAATGAAATGTCAATTATTAGCGTCAAACTCAACAAATAAAATTAATGAATAATTAACTTTTATGAATAAATAAATTGAGCCGTTAAGGGTAGACTAGTCACTCATTATTCTATACAAACGTAGTCTGGCGATTACTCCACTGTTTGATGGTGTACGTTCAAAATAAAAAATGATTTCATTTTCTTTCATCTTTATCTAGCTCTGTATGGAAACAAAAAAGTAAAAAAAGAATATATTTAAAAGTACTAATTTTAACACATCTTTGGGCGGAAATAAATACCATAAGAAGAACGAAAATTGTAAAACAGTTATCATACAGGGATAGATTAGGTGTTCAAAAGTGCAAATAATTTTATTTTGAACAGATACATTCAATAGATTTTTCATAATATCCAGATTCCCAAAGGTCTGTTTATAAAATTTCGTGCGCTCGTTTTGTTGTAAGTCATCATGCCTTTCGCTTTCGCACGTGATGTCGGCTGAGATAGCATGCATTTTAACCCCGCCTACCATTTAGTTCGAGCTATCGACTAAGGCCACCTTAATGAAATGTGTACGTAAGTACCTGAAGAAAGTAAGAATTTTAAATGGAAACAAAAATTTATAATTAAAACAAGATTTTTTATTATTTTCTTTAAAATTACAATATTGAAACTTTGCTTTGCATTAACCATTTGCTTAAAGTAATTTTACAGTTTTTACATAAAAGTTTTTAATTAAAATTAACATCAATAAACTCTCGTCACCAACTTAATTCTATTGACATTTAATTACCTTATATTAAACTATATTACGTTCTTTGTTCTAATAAATCACAGATGTAATGCCTTAAGTACATAGTACTCTTGCTCGGCGGTGAAGAAAAACATTGTAAAGGTACTTGTATGTTTGAGAAATAGAATATTATGTTCGAAGGCTTGCAGTCCACAAACAAGCACCGGAGCAGCGCGACGGCTTAATTTCGATATAACTCTCTTAAAAATGAAAAAAAGTCTGTGCCTAGCTGAGGGACACATATAGGCTGTAACTTCACGCATGCATTTTTTATACAAAAACACTAGCAATGCTTACATTACCAATATTCCCTTTAACCACTTCTGATAACCTTGTGTTAGGAATGGTTTCCGATAATAGTCGAATGGCGTATTCGAACCCACGACCTTATGAGTTCACGGTCTGCACCCAGTCATTATGCTACTGTCGCATAATTCAGATTTAATTGCTCATACATTTAAATATCAGTTGATTAATCAATCGCTGCATTTACTGTTTACATAACAATTATAACTACAGCTAAGGTACGTGAGGGTAATACGGCCACCTTAAGCTTTGCCGCGCTAAAAAACAAAACTAGGAGGAGCAAAGAGACAAAAACACAAAGTCTTACACTATAACTATTATATTAAGAAAAAAAATAGCAAACAAGCTTTGGCAATAATTGAGAATACTTAAAAAAACTCAACTGTACTAACTACACTAAACCATACGAAAGTCAAAGTATTTATTTTTTTATAAAGCCCTTAGCCCTTAAGACCCTATATTATTTGATTGACCGATGATGAACTATCGTATCACAGAGCCATCTATGCAAAGAAGATTGTAGTTTTTGGGTTATAAGAAAGTGATCATATTAACCGGATGACAATATTACTCTCACGTACTATATATATTTTATATAAGCCTTTAATATGTAAAATGTAAGAGAACTACTGAATTTCCAGTGCTATAACTTGTACAATTATTAAACTGCAGAATTTATACCCACACCTTAATTTTTAATTAGATTAATTTATAATCGTACAGACTTATCGTGATAACATAGGAATGCGTGACAGGATAATCATTATAATTAATTAATTATTACCTATAAATAATTAACGTATACTTGGTTCAACTCTAAATCATTTATCGTATATATATCATAATTCTAATAATCGTAATGAAAGTAGGTAAATTAATATTCAGGGCCGACTATTTAAAAATGTTATCTTGATGATTGCTCATAGACACAGAATACATCATTTTAATTTTATTCACTTTCTCATACGTTACAGTTTCTTGGTTTGGTTTATAGTTCTCAATCACCAGTTCTCACTTAAATTTCAGGCAATAGTAAGGTTAAGTACGTTAACAACGGAGCTACACTATTATTATATAATATAAATAACAGAAAATAAAATTTATATAAATATAAAATAATGTTCATCATTATAAAACATTGCTCAATATTGAAGTATTTACTTAAACAATTAGAAACCTTTTAAAGTTACTAAAGTTTAACGAATATCAAAAATAAAAGAAAAAGACATCTAGTCATAGCCAACAATCCTTAAATTGTTCTTATAAAATAAAGCAAAATCAGTCTAGCTTCGAAAGAGGTAACAGGGATATATGAGATGATGAATTCGTAATTTTTCATAGTTTCACGATAATTTATTGAAACTGGTTAAAACCATTGATATAATGGTTAAAACCTATTATAGGATTTTCTCGCAACCCACATTTAAGAGCGTAGTAAGTTTGCGCGGGAATTGAAACATAGGTATTTGAAGAAACTAATGCCCCGAGCAACTGAGGTATCAATATGTGAGTGAATGGTCTGTATTTGTGTGCGTAGCTCAGTACTAACTGCGACTACGTAGTACCACAGAATAAATAACAGTACTACTACGTAGTACTATTATTTATTTGAATACATAATCATGTAATGAAATATGTATTAGCACAGAATAAATAACAGTACTACTACGTAGTACTATTATTTATTCTGTGCTAATACATACACAAATAGGGAAGTGACAACTGTCGAAGCGTAGGGGAATACATTTGTATGGAAAAAAAGCAGCCCGTCTACGCTCTTAAACTCTTAAATAGTTTTAATAATTTTCTGGATTATACATACCCATTATAGCAATATCATTTCAATTTGAATCTTATTTCTTACATACATTTTGCACAAGATAACAAGGATGGTCTTCTTAGGCAAAATTAACATCGTGGACAACACATATGTGTCGAGGTGTCCTTATTTACTGTTTTCGATACGTTATTATAATTATTGTAATGTCAGTACAATGACCTGGATCAGTATGCAGCTGTATCAATGTACGTAAGCAATTTTTATCAATATCAAATAATTTTCAATTAATGTTATCTTATTATCGGCCATAACAACAACATTATCTACAAACGTGTTTTTCAATTATTTTGTATTATAGCACCTGTCTACCTAATTTTTTTTATATATATATAAGGGTGGGACTAGGATTTTACTAGTAAGGTTATGTCACAAAAATAGTTAACCGATAAGTAATCTACCATTTAGATGACACATTCAATTAATTATATTTTTATATCTTACACTTTACAATACATTTCTTATTTCTTACATAGGTACATAGCTTCCGTCCGTACATATTCATTACTTGGTGACTGAGGTGCCTCAAGCATACGGTTTAACAGTATTTAATCCACATCTTCCTGAATTGATGTATATGAGTTTATGCTTATGTTTATGGATTAATATTGAAGCAAGATTCACACATGGGAATATCCACTATGTAAATAGTTCATAATTAGTATTTTGTCTGGATTTGGAATTAGAAATCCTCGATTCAGTAGCAAGGAATATATGGATATAAAATGTATAGTACAATTTCTTCTTCTTAAGGTGCCGTCTCCTTGCGAAGGTTGGCAATCATTATGGCGATTTTAACTTTTAAGACCGCTGTTTTAAATAGTGATCTTGTGCTCTTTCCGAACCACTGGCACAAGTTCTTCAGCCACGATCCTTCTGCGGCCAGGCCTATTTTTCTGCCTGCCGCTTTCCACTGAATGACAAGTTGAGGGAGTTCATATTTTTTGATGTTACGCATCACGTGCGCAAAATATTCCAATTTCCTCCTCTTTATGGTTGTAGGTACCTCTGTGACCTTCCCCACTCTTTGTAGCACGGTGGTGTTTCATACGCGGTCTCTCCAAGAAATTCTTAGCATACGTCTGTACACCCACATCTCGAACGCTTCCAGTTGTTTAGACATGGCTTCTGTCAACGTCCAAGCTTCTACACCATAGAGAAGTACAGAAAAGACATAGCACCGCGCTGTGCGTGTTCGAAGAGAAATACTTAGGTGCTGATCACAAATAACTTTTTTCAATCTCGAAAAGGCGGTGCGTACCTGCTCAATTCTGCATCGCATTTCGAGGCTGTGATCTCCTGTTTCGTCAACCATTGTGCCTAGATATTTGAATTTGGTGACCCGTTCAAGACCCTGACCATTTAGGGATAAAGACGTGATAAGCTCAGGTGTTCACCTTAATACCTTGTACTTCGTCTTATTGGTATTGATGTTAATACCGGATTCAACACTAACGGAAGCCACTGAATCTACTAACCTTTGAAGACCCGCAAGACTATCGGCGATTAATATCGTGCCGTCTGCCACCTAATGTTGTTCAGAAATTTGCCATTAATTAATATACATTAGTAGTACAATTTATACTTGTTATAAAATATATTCAAATATAAATAATATATTTGCTCCGTAGCACACTAGCTTAGCAATTGTATAGGTTCGAATCCCGCAGGGAACAAGTATTTGTATTTTTATTTACCTACAAGTAATTGTTCGGGGCTGAATATTTGTCCTTGTGAAATGTATGTATGTAACATTTTAAAGTTGTCCTAAAGATAATTTTAGCTCTTTAACTATTGTTATTTTGAATTCTTTGTACTTGGTATTATTTATACATAGCAACTTATTTAGAACTGAACCAAGTATAATGAAGCAATCTTTATTTTTTCATTATTTAATAATGTTTTTTTATGATAAACTTTGAGCAATTTCACTTAAAACAAGATCATTGTACAACATAAAAATATGTTTTAAAATATTGTGCATTACATATGCACAATATTTAAATACAACCATTTTTTCGGGTGCTTATCAGGGATCCTAAAGTAATATTTTCTATATTTGAGATTACTGTAATTGCGAATACCATAACACTTTATTACTATTTTTGGTCAGAAAATTCACGCTGTTAAGCAGAGATCAGTAGTGCGATTGTGTAACTCTGATGGGGATAGTGGTTGTTTTTGTTTTAAAGTCCAACGTTAAAACAAAAACAACTACTATCCCCATAGAGTTAGTTTCATTAAAGTAAAAAAGTTAAAGATACAGCCTATATACATCCCACAGCTGGGCACAAGTCTCCTCTACTTTCTGAGAAGGTTTTGGGGCAAGGTAGTGTCCGCCGCGCTGCCCCAATACGTGTCAGCGGACTTCATATGTCTTCGAAAAAAAAATTTCTTATTTCTCAGACATCAAGGTATTCTCAGGATGTTTTCCTTCACCGCCGAGCACGTGGTAAATCAGCACTTAAAATTGGCAATTAATTTCATTAGTGCCGGCGGGGATCCAACCTAGCACTTAGCCCCTGAGCTACCACGGCTCTCAGTTTTATTGTATTGTGTTAATATGAATTAGTATCGATTATAAGCTATTAACATATTATCAGCGGACTTCAAAAAGGAGGTCCTCAATTTGACTATGTTTTGTATTTATGTTAGGCAATATCTGCGCAAATAACCTATTTTATTGATTCTATTTAGTAAACAGAGTGGTCCTTTTTAATTTAAAGAAAAAATATTCCAACCCTTATGCTGGTACAGTAGGGGAAAGTTTTCATTGTAACTGTTTAGACATTTACTTAGTCACCTTGCTTATGATATTCCTTAGTTAAAAATCCTGGGTCAAAAAATTTTACTTGTAATGAAAATCAAATCTGAAAAGGATTTGAAAAGATCCACATGAATAGCCTCTGAAGTCGGGAGCTTTAATTTTCAATACACTATCTATTAGTATTAACATTTTGATTTATATTTATATTTTTTTTCGTATTTATTTAGTGTCGGATGACACTAGATGGAGTGATCACCTGGTGAGACATACAGGAAGTCAATGGATGCAGGTGGCTCAGGACCGAGCGTTGTGGCATTTCTTGGGGGACGCCTATGTTCAGCAGTGGACGTGTAAAGGGCTGTAATGATGATGATGACACTATATCTTAGCACCGACATCAGAAGCTATTATGTAAGAATCATTTTATTTATTTGAGTCATTTGAAGTTAGTTCTTACATGTTATTAAATATTATGTATTTTTTTAGGTTAAACATATTAACTTATTGCCGCAATTGCGTTATGTTATTTCATTATTTTTTAAAACATAACACAGAACCTACCAGACTTGAGTTACACAATAGCACAGCGGTGCTGTGAAATAGACATTCAAATATCAAACAAAATGAATAAATGTTTGAGTACAGAGTATGTACTAAACTGTAATCCAAAAAGTGTGACATGTTTACTATCTAATTAAAATCTGATATAGTAATAGCGAAAAGTACCATCACCTACCATCCAATCTAAAAAGTCTAATATATTACGAACAATTGCATGTTTCTTCCCTGCATACTATGACATATAAATCACAAATGTGGGATAACACTTCAACGTTTCACTTAAAACACAAAAGAAAGTTACACTAGACCTATTTTTTTAAATAAGGTGCATTCACCTTTTTTGGTACTGTTAATATCTTCATCTTTTTTTCGTGTAAGATATTTCTCTTACTAGAAATTGGATTTAGAAGACAAAATCAAACCCTGTAATGGGTAACATAATAATAACCTAGACTATGTGTTGTTCGATTATCTTCGTTTAATTTATTGAGCTTTATCTACTTTTAAAAGAAAGGATTTACATCTACATTTATTTATGTAGTACACGAGATAGATATAGACAGACATAATTTTTTCAAATAATACAGCATGCTACAGGTTGATATAGTTTGTACCTGTGGTCGGCTGTAATGTAGTTGATAGTGATAGTACAGGTTAATATAAAGTTACTACAATCAAATAACTATCCACAACTTTGAATTAATATAAGTATAATTTAATAAATTCACTTTATGAACGAGATCTAATACTTCATACATATAAATGAGGAAATCACCATTTACTTCTCATTCTAATTTTTAAAATTATGTATGAACAAAAAATGAAAGCAAACGCAATACCAAAAAGCCATACAACAGCATTAGTATATTTTTCAGAAGACATACCGTTATCAAGCAAAAATTGAGTGGGGTGCGCATAATGACAGTAAAGTTCTTTACATGTAAGTTTTGGTCGGTCCATACCAAATATTGGTATCACCATACCAACAAGTCCATGTTTCAAGAACGATAAATCAAATAACCATCGGAAGAAAAATGGTGCATCACTGTATCGAAGGAAGAAGCCTGAGAATACTGTAAACGGCATGATGAGAAAGGGCCCGAAAACGACACCATTCTGAAAAAAATAAATACACGTGATTATTAGTTATTACAGATAAATGATAACATACATTTTGTTAATTAATCACGCTCGTTTAAATAATGTTGACATTTAAGAAATTGGTTCAGTGGAAATAACTCTAAAATGTCTTGCTGATATCTGAAACCTTTTATATTTTTTTAAAGAATATTAACAATGCTATAAACATTACTAATATTCCCCTTAACCACTCGTGTTAAGCTTAAATTGCTTGTGTTACGAGTGGTTCACGTGGTGGTCGAAATTGAATTGACCTAGTCGGATAATTTGTCACAGGTAAATATATTGGTCGACAACTTCGAACGTAGTACTCTTAACAACTACTGGCATATGTGTGACATGGATATAACACCTGTTTGTTTTATTCATGTCAATTTTAAGACCTAGGTATATGTTGGGAGACACTGTTGAGTTCGTTGAGTACAGTGTTTAGGTCCTCCAATTAGTTAGAATACCTCTTCCAATGCAACGGTGTTTTGGGGATATAACATCACCCTGTCTTATACCTCTCCGCAATTAGATAGATTTCGTACTCTCGTTCTTTCAAATATTTAGATATCCATCGTAGCCCTACTGTATAAACACTTCAGTATTTCAATATACTGATGGTCAAGTTGAAACCGCTGTAGGAACAGTAGCACCGCCCAAATTTTGACAGAAACTTATGCTTTTTCATAATCCACATACGCAAAAACGGTTAGCATATTGTACTCTTCGGTTTTCCGTACAGCTTTCCGTACGGTTTGTATGTGGTCTGTGGTATTAAAGCTTTTCTGAAACATGCTTGTTCGGGATGTTTGAAATCATCGAGTCTGTGTGCGAGACAGTTCGTAATGAGTAATGACTCTCCAAAACAGCACAAAGACGTGGCCTGAAATCGGTTTGTCAATCGGTTTGTCAATCCAGCGCCCTACTACTACCTCATTGCTACGTAGTAATGCCACTTTGGAGGACGGAATTGAAGAGTTTCTGAAGGACCTTAAGTATCAGTTTTTTTCGCTTTCAGAAGCTTCGCTGTAATTCTATCCTTACTCTAGGAAAGGTCAGGAATTAAGAAAGTTAAAATTGAACGCGATAAAATGTGTAAAATTAGTTTTATTCAATTTGTAATATTCGCGTAAATATAAAAAACCATTAAGTTTTTCCAGTTTGATTTAGGCACTACTAGATACTAAATAATGCTAAAATTATATTTGAAATAATGATGTCTTAATATGAGAAAAACAACTGTAAACATTTGCAAAGTGGTAAAGTTATAAACGTATCATTAATTTTACTAACCTTTACGTTAAACATAGATCCATTGCAAAGTCCTACGCATATTGCGGTGTATGAAACCAGTAATAAGGTACAACAATATGTGAAGAAACGTTGGTATTCCAGCGGCTGTCCCGTCATCCAATACGTTATGCATGCAAAGGTGAGGGTACAGATTGTTTGAATCGGTAGCGCGGATACTAGCGTCGAGGCATAATATGCTCCAGTCGTGTACCATCTATTGAAATGTTCTCGACGCACTATTGGCAACTGTTCTGGAACTAATAACGACATTGAATATCATTGTTGTTTTGTATGGTGAGTGACGGGAACAGACCCTTCTTATTGGTAACTAGGCATCCCATCTCAATCCTCAAGGGTGACGAAGCACCTGCAGTCTATTACCCATCAGGTGGTTTGTGTGCCGGTTTGTCACTTTGACTTTTATAAGATTTTTTTTTAAATATTGACCCTCCTTGTTAAGGAGGTAAAGGATAAAAATATTGCAGCGTGCCATAGGTAGACAATCATAGACTTTTTTCATTACTTATTGGACTAACTCTTGGTAAATGTCAATCAAGTCCAAAACTAGGAAAATTTAGTAAGGGAAAATTTAGTTCATTTCGGTGTGGTGATTGTTTCAGAGAAAATATCCATTTCTAGTTCCCTAAATGTCGTGTTACTCGATGCAATTTCACTTAAGCGAGATAAATCATAAATCTTACTCCATACAAATTAATAATACATATATTTCAAGATTCATTCATTCATTACAACCCTTCACAAGTCCACTGCTGAACATAGGCCTACTCCAAGGAATGCTGCAAAGCATGGCCCTGAGCCACCTGCATCCATAGACTTCCTGCATGTCTTACCAGGTTGTCACTCCATCTAGTGGGCGGACGCCATATACTTCGTCTATTGGTGCGAAGCTACCACTCGAGCAAGTTTCTTCCCCATCGGTAGTCGGTTCTTCGAGCTACATGGCCGGCCCATTGACATTTCAGCTTACAAATCCGTTGGGATATGTCGGCTACTCTGGTTCTACTGCGGAAATCCGCATTTCTAAGTTTATCACGCAGAGAAACTCCGAGCACAGCCATCTCCATAGCTCTCCGAGTGACCTTGAGTTTCCTCATACGGTCAGTAGTGAAGGACCACGCCTCGGTTACATAATTCATCACTGATGTATCGTAATATCCCCAATCCTGCCCAGCCGAGTTGAATCCGTCGATCGACCTCTCGATTGAAGTTAGACTTCTGAGTTTTTTAAGATAAAAAGTAATCATTAAAAAGTTTAATATACTTACATCTGATTGAGACAGCGCTGTAGGCCGTGAACATAAGAAACATGAGGCAGAAGTAAAGAAAGTTGTAATTATTTCTAACGTTTTGGGCCTCTTTTCCGATGTTGAAAAATAAGGATCCAACAAACAGCGCCATAAGTAAATGGATACCAGTGATCATAAGTGTATAGGACGGATCACGCCAATAGGACTGTAAGAAACAAGAATCTCATTTCACAACAAGAAACTTAAAACGAAATTCAGAAATGTATACGTAATACGAGTAATAAGTAGCCCAAAGTCACTAGCCATGTCAGGTTTTGTGAAACAATCCCGCAATAGCAACTTTAATTCTAGACACACATGATCAGTTAAACTGATGTACATCTAAAAACTGACCGTGAGTGTGAAATCTTAAGTTGAAATTTGAAGCCCGTAAGTGGGGAAATCGTTTTTGCTTACATCTGCCATAACTGTTATAGTTATTCTATATCACGATGAAGGTTTGACTTTGGTTGTTGTTAGCCGTGTACATACACATTGTTAGTGTGCGTAGGCCACGGTAGCGCTCAGTCAAATCAAAGTTACACATACAAACGCGCCTGTCGGTACACGTCACTTTGACGTCACTACTACTATTAAGGCGAAACCTAATCTTGAAATGGAATAACGGTAACTAACTCCGCATAGTATTGTTAAAATCGTATTTATTATTATTATTATTATTATGTATTGATTTATTTTATTTTTATTTATTGTTTTATTTTATATAATTTACGTAACATTGTGTATGTTATTTATTTTTAGTAGTACTAATGTATGCACTAAGTTTGCAATTTCAATATAATTTCCTTTATGGGTCTACTGGAAGATATTTCAGCTAATTATGGAATAAGTAGAACCTTTGTACGAAATTACTATAAGGCTGCTTCTGTATCTTGATGTATGTACATAAAATAAATAAAAAATAGAATAAAAAAAGAACAATTGAAAAACAAAAGTGGTGGAGTAGTTTTTTATACGTGGTAGAGCCATGCTGCAGTTATATTAGTAGTATAGTTGTAGCTTGTAGCACGAATGGGTCGGCTCGACCGGGGAAGGACCACGCTCTCACAGAATACCAGCGTAAAATAGTAGCTTAATGCGGCTGTATTTCGTATGGTGAGTGTAGAGAACCGGAGACCCTTTTTACTGGAAACGAGGCATTCCATCTTAGTTCTCACGGGTGACAACGCATCTGCATTTTGATTTGTAATCGAGGATAGATCTAGATGTCTATGGGCCGCAGCAACCACTTACCATCAGGTGGACTGTGTGCTCGTTTGTCACCCTATTCTATAAAATAAAACACTAAAAATAAATCTTAAAATCATTTTCATTATCTATAATATCGTTCCATTCGTAACATTAAATACAACAATTGGTTATTCTGTGACTTGTGAACCGAGTGTTACCTATAGTTTCAGGAATGAGGCTGTAAGATCTTTCTTAAACACCACCATAAAATCGAAGAAATCATGATAAAATCTATTAATAATAATTAGTGGAATTGTTACTACTTTGTCAATTTAAACCAGAAAGAAATTTTCGAATGATATTATAAATTGCGGCGAATGGTTACGAAATTTCGTACTGTTTTATATTATCATTTACATAGCGCGATAGTTTACTTAAACAAAACTATCGACGAAAAAGACGAAACCATTTCTTTCAAATACTCAAACGCTGTTAAAAGGAAATAGAAAAAAAAACTACCTCAAATGGCTTAGCAAGATCCTCCGTTATGCCGAAAATATTGCAGCATTAATTTTGAAATAAATTTGTGGTAAAGTTGAGGATTAATGTTAAGTACTATGTTAGACGAAACACGATTCCGTAAAATTTTCTCGATAGAAAAAAGTTACCTCCAAACTGAACAATAAACCGCTGGTATTCATAAAATACTTTAAATTAGATCATGAAACTTTGCATACTAACTGAACTTACTATAAATCAGGGCTTATGTTTTTTTTAATTACCATTATTTTCACTGTAAAAAGAAATTACCTAAACTATCGGCGTCTCGAAGCTTGTTTCCTGCCGCCCGATCAGTCTAGCCAGTTTATAAAAAGTAATCTTTGAGTCTACTAGCTTCGTCTTTTAAGCGGGAAAGCTGTGTCGCTTACAATCAGAATGCACATTACGCAACAAGACGACGTAAAACTAAAATGGGAAAAAACCGTAATAAAAATAAGAAGCGACTGGGTTGGCGTTAAGAAACAGGTATAAATATGATAAACCTAATGAAATAAGTATCTAACGAGCTATCTACTTACGGATTAGTAATTACAAACTCTTACGTATTAGAAATCAGAATTTGAGCTGAGTTACTATGGCCCCTTAAGTCTCGCGATGTCTTTATACACTCGTAAATATCTTTAAATCAATGTGACTGTCACACCACGAGACTTAACGACATCTTAAAATTGATTAGCATTCAAGTATATCTGGCCATTAAAAATGAATGAAATATAAGAAGGTATATTAAAAAATAATTACGGTTCAAAAACCAGATTTATATTTATAGTTCCGGTTTGAAATACTTACGTTACTAAGACGGAAGAATACGATCAAAAGTTCAATAAAGATACATAAATATCTTACCAAAAAGGATCTTCGTGTTAATATTGCAAATTGTTTCCACGAGGTTGTCGGATATGTACCTTTCAACGACAGGAGAATTTTGCTTGTGGGGTCTGACTTTGGTGGTGGTAATGTTGTTAGGTACACTTCTTCGTTTTTGCTCAATTCATATTTTGCTGCGAAGAATCGATTATTTAGTTGGATTACTCAATAAATACTTTCTGTTTCAAAAATTTTGAATGTTAAATATAATATAACTTACTTAATAAATTACTATCAGTATCATTTGTTATATTACTAATCCATTGCGTACTCCTTCCATTTTGTGAATATTTAACTAGTTGATTTTGATTTTCAATACATATTTCTATAACTGAAAAGAAAAATATAACTAGTAATTTTATATCAAAAGTACTTGTAATGTAACCAATTTTTTCTGCGCTAAAGCTACAGCCGAAATAGCTCAGTTGGGAGAGCGTTAGACTGAAGATCTAAAGGTCCCTGGTTCAATCCCGGGTTTCGGCAGAAAAAATTACTGGTGTTTTTTTTTGTAAATACAAAATACACACTGTTCTATTTTAAAACTTGAAAGGATTTTTTGTACCAAAATATGTTATGTTATTTTTAGTTTGCGATGTCAATGTAATATTATTTAATTTTTTGTCTATAAATGAAATTGTATATCCAAAAACAGAAAATCTACATCTTTACATTTTATATTTATATACATATACATACACCTATATATATGTATTATTTGTATGTATGTATATCATTTTAATACGTGAACAGAAAGTGGTACACCCTTTCTAAACATATTGCTTGAGGTGTATCTATGTGTATATGTAAGCATATTTTAAGCGGTGCCGGTTTAATATTACCGGCGCCCTGGGCGAAATTTCTACGGGCGCCCCTCTCTAATTACCAATTTAAACATGTGGTAAACAAAACAAAATATTAGTTTTTTTTTTAATATAATCGTTTATTTCAATTAAGTACACTTTTTCTAAGAAAATTTTACTTCTCTATCGACAAACTTTTTTATTAAAGCAGCGAAGCTGATGTCTCCTACAATGTTATTTTCGATTGACAAAGCTGCCAAGTTTGTCAACTACTTTCCCCACTCGCTACTTAACGTTACGATATTTACCGCTCTTTAGTGAAATTTACAATATATACATAGGAGTAACAACATCGTCTTTATCAGGAAAAAGGATTTCAGACTTCATCACACAACGAATGATCTCAAAATCCATTTCGATCCCATTGTGTTAAGTTTAATTGGAGATCACCACAGAGTTTTAGAATGTCTTGTTTTTCGGGAATCCTTTTTATATGTAAAAAGAAAGTAAACGGCTTTGAATACTCATTTAACTGTTTAAATCTATCTCTAAGTATATTTAAAGTTGTGTCCAAAAGGCAGTTGAAAAATTCGACTTTCAATTCCCTTTGCGGATCAGTTATAGGCTCACTACTGGCAGCTAAATCTTCACTTGATTGGCGTTTAATATGTCTTATGCTTGGTGTGGTTATTAATACTGGTTCAATTTCAAGTTCTTTCGCCAAATATCTCGCTAATGAAAAACTCGTTTTTACCACCACTTACCATCATCATCAACCACTTCCATCAGGTGGACTGTGTGCTCGCTTGTCGCCCTATCCTATATTAAAAAAATAGGACTGTGAATGAAAGTTTGTTCTACGTGAATACTCGGATGCAGTCAGCTATAGTCACATATTTGAATTTTTTGATTCGCGATATACTCGTAATATCGGACTTTAATTTTTCTCCTTCACTTTTCCTCTCTCGCCTTTGGCGCCCCTTCATGTACGGCGCTCTTGGGCGGTCACCCAACCGCGCCCTGCCCTGACGCGGCTGCTGACTAAGCATACGGAGGAGAGTGACATTTGGTATAATTAATTTATTTATGGAGAAGGAGTGCAGAAAGCTAAAATTTAATAATAATGCAATAAATGCATTAAATTAAATTAAACATACATTGTTATACATATCATACATTGCAATGTCAAACACAGTCTGCCGTTTGTTAACGTTCATATTGCCAATTTCAAATAGAATATAGTCTGCAGTCAAACCTTCAAACAGTGTAGACATTCTCACCAAAGAATTTTAAAATATCGTCTATTAACAGATTGACTGAATGCTTTGAGTATCTGATTGAACCTGTATATTACATATATTATCTATGGATTGAGCTGTGAATTTTGTGTGATTTTGAATGTTTTTTAATATATGTCAAGGCAAAAAAGCGTTTACTTTATATTTTATATATTAATATTCCAGCCACGCAACCAAATTGTACCTACTGTAATATACTTGTAACAGTTCTAATGAGCATTATTTTTTCTCCCTTATTATATTCTGAAGTTATATACAAACGATTAAATGTTTGAGATTTGCTTGTGGCACATGTTGAATTATGAACGAAAGTAAAATAAAATAAAAAGGTTGTAGTTATTGATTCGTTACGATTTTAATTTGATGTTTAAATACTTACAAAAATCTACAGGATTGTGGTATGGTGGACACCTTAAGTCCATTTGTTCTAAATAGGGTAGCAGTAGAGGCACGGATCCCATGTAGGCACATTGTCCTGCTACAATTGCGTACAATCTATCTACCATGGTCAATAACGCTGCAGAAGGTTGGTGCATGGTCACTACCACCGTTCGTCCTTGTCTCGCTAAAAGATGCAGCAAATACACCAGCTGTTTAGATATCGAGCTGTCAAGGCCACTGAAATAGTGTAAACGTACGTTAATTAGGTATGTAATGAAGTTTTAATTTCTATAACTACTAAGTAAGTGACTTATTTATATTTGTTGTTACTTGTTACTTAATAAAAATTAAAATTTAGTCTTAATTTATTTAGATATTTCGTAATGATTTCTTAAATTTACGCGAACACTACACATTGAATAAAACTAAATTTACGGATTTTATCGCGTTTATTTCACTACTTTTACTTATTTTTAATTCCCGACGTTTCGGGTGCTTTACAGCAACCATGGTACGGGGGGGACTGAGATGTTTGACGTCCCAATGTCATAGTTAGTCCGGCTACCTTCAGTTTTTTGAAAATAAAAATTTTGAATATTGCGTAAATCGGACCAAAAATTAAGATACTATAAGCTCGTTTTGCGTAAATCGGACCAAAAATTAGATATTGCTTTTGGTGGAAAAATTAATATTCAAAAACTGAAGGTAGCCGGACTAACTATGACATTGGGACGTCAAACATCTCAGTCCCCCCCGTGACCATGGTTGCTGTAAAGCACCCGAAACGTCGGGAATTAAAAATAAGTAAAAGTAGTGAAATAAACGCGATAAAATCCGTAAATTTAGTTTTATTCAATAGATATTTCGTTTTAATAAAATGAAATATCTAAATAAATTAATAATAATGTCAACGTTTCGTTGTTTGCTACGATTTAAAATAAAACGAGCAGCCAGGGAATGCAAAATGTTTTCCTTAAATACGGAAACCAGGCATCGGCCTATGTAGTTTACAATGTGGTGGCTCTGGCGATCAACTGATGCCAAATAACGTCATCGGAAGTTTTTAAAGCTTATTAACATGTATGAAATCTGCATCGTCCATAGAATTTGACAACTTTTCTCTAAATGCGCAACACAAATAAATTCAATATCTTCGTAAATCTCCAGATCTATTACCGTATGCAGCACACATTTATTTTTAACCGACTTCAAAAAAGGAGGAGGTTGTCAATTTGATTCTATTTTTTATCTGTTACCTTAGAACTTTTTCTAGGTGAACCAATTTTTATGATTCTTTTTTTATTTGAAAGCTTCTCATGTGGTCCCATATAAATTTGATCAAGATTTGACAAGTAGTTATTGATTGAAATAATACTAGTTTTTACGGAATTTATCGCGTATATTTAACTTTTTAAATACCCGACGTTTCGAGAGCTTTACAGTACCCATGGTCACACTGTGTAGATGGTCATACTGTGTAGATCGGAACAAAAGTTAAATTTTAATCTATGGTAACCGCGGTTAACTATGACATCTGGACGTTGAACATCTCAGCCCTTCCCGTGACCATGGGTGCTGTAAAGCTCTCGAAACGTCGGGTATTTAAAAAGTTAAATATACGCGATAAATTCCGTAAAAACTAGTATTATTTCAATGTGTAGTGTTCGCGTAGATATAAGAAATCATTAAGTAGTTATTGAGTTATTCTTAAAAATGCGTATTTAATTGACTTCGACTACATTGATTTATTTATATTGAAGTCGGTTGTACATCATTTTAAAATTTCCCACTTATTAATTTTTTCTACCTATGGTGTGAAGCTTAATAATTCAGCAGCATAATGTGGAGATTGCGGTGGGTGGCAAGCCGAGTAAAGCAAAGCTATCAAAACGAAATGTTTATAGTCCGGTAAGATTGGAATAAAACAAATCTCTTTATACGATTAAAAGCATCGAATAAATCAGGAATCACCGAATAGACATTTAATTGTCAGTTTTTGTTTGTTTCAGATTGTAAGTGTTGTTGTTGTTGCTTAGGTTTGTGAATATATTTTGTCCATAGTCGATGGCAATCGAAAATCTGTTATGCAAAATCTTATTAAATAATCGACAGCACCAGCTTGCCTTGTTCCAACAACACCGTACTTAAATATAATACAAATTACACAATACCTAACCTTTGATATTCTCACTACTTCGTACAGTAATGTCCATTTGTGTTTTTTAATTTAGTATTGCCTCTATTAAATTAATGTTTTATATTTGAGAAGTTTCGCTAGCGTAGTGTTCAGACACTCCTTATGTAATAACCGAGCTGTCTGTCTGTAAACGTGTTTTTCGTAGATACTTGTTTACACATATGATTTAAAATTGTTATAATTATAATTTTTAATATACTCAGTTGCCATAACACAAAAGTGTTAAACATTATTTACAAATTTTAAAAGCAAAATAGGTAGTTAAAATATTTTTATTAATAGTAACCATGTAGGATATTAAAAATAAGCTTTGTGCAGCGCCATTTTAAACATATATATATATATATATATATATATTATAATTATTAGTTTGTGTTTAATTTTATTGCAAATTCTTCCGTAAAGTTTTCTTATATTTTTGCGAACACTACACATTTTAATAAAACTAGTTTTTACGAATTATATTGCGTATATTAACTTATTTTATATTCCAGACGTTTCAACGAACACATAGCTAATCTAAAGATTCGACGCTCCGGGAAGTCTGCAGTCTGTGAACATGTACAGGATCGCCCCCGTCACTACATATTAATATTTGATAGACCACAAATCTTCGCTGAAGAACACCGATTGTTTCCAATGATGATTCGAGAGGTTATTAAAATCAAAAAACATCCTAATTTCAATAGAGAAGATGGCTGGATGCTACCATGTGCCGGGAATCCTATAATTATTAAAATTAAATCCCAATCCAAGCACACAACTGCAAGACTTCAAGATACTATGTAAAATATATAAAGTGCTCGAAACGTCGGGAATATTAAATAAAAAAAAAATCAAAAATCTTTATTTTCAAACCAGTAATACTTAAAATTAAATACATTATCACATTACAACATTTTATCGCGTATATTAAATAACGTAATATACGCGATAAAATCCGTAAAAAATAGTTTTATTGAAATGCAATCATCCGGTAAAATTCTGTCTACATTCGTATCGCCAAACGGTCCATAAAAATTGTGATTTCACGAAAATACTTTTAGATATGGGCTAAGGTATGTATTGTTTACGACATATGTAAAATGTCGTGAAGTCACGAATATAGATATGGATAAGGTATGTATCGTTTACGACAAATGTAAAATGTCGTGAAGTCACGAAAATAGATATGGATAAGGTATGTATCGTTTACGACAGATGTGAAATAAACACAGATATATAAAAAAACAAATCACAGGGCGGCAGCACCAAAGCGGCCAGATGTATGTAACTGCGGCCGTCAATGCGACTGCCAAGCGCAATGCAGACGAACTCCGCCTGCAATATGTCCAGCAGTGCACGTTTATGGGCTGTGGTGATGATGAAGAATCAGAAACTACTTTATACTTATCCGTACAGCATATTATAATTATATCAAAGATTTCTAACCTCAATAAAAGCTACTAAAAAGTATTTTAGTGGGTTACTCTAGTGATTTTTTTGTTTACAGTAATTAACATTAAATTTAATCATCTATCCATTATAATTTATAACAGCCTATAAAGTGCGCTATTGAACATAGGTCTTCTCAATAGATTGCCCCGGCGTATTGATGGCGGATTGCCCCCAATAGATACGGGGCGATTGTGCAATAGGTGCCCTCACAGAAATAGTAATAATATTGTCCTATTATTACTATTTCTGTGGTTGCCATAATGGTGGGAACCACGATTTTTTATTACATCTTTGAGTTGTTATCACTAATATGCAATAAATATTTTTTATTTGAAAAATATGCGTGTTCTTCTGTCGCGTTTTACGACAACTACGGACGATTTGCGGTAATATTTAATTATATCAGTTTCATAAATATTATCAACTTGTTTAAATGGTAATTTAATGAAATATGTAGTCATTTTTGGTAGATGTTGCTGTTATTATATTAAAATATTAAAGCCGAACGTACCGTCCATCACTTGTGGAACGTGTAAGGAACGCACACTATACTATCGGCACAACGGAAGAGAGATAAAGCTTCATACAACCACATGAGTAAAGAAACCGACCATAGGGGAAACTACATACAAACGGCTCACTGCGACTATACCCACACATAGCGCAGCGATGTGTGCGTGAACTCTCACCGATAGATTCACCGACGCTCCATCGGGGTACAAACCAGTTTGTGCTGGTTCTGTTGGGGGTATGAACGCAAGGGCTGTTGCTGGAAATTGAAATAAATGGAACAACAATATTTCGTGATTTTATAGATTATTTTTTTTTACTATTAGAGTTAAGTTTAAAAAATGTTTATTATAAAATAATTCATTATAGATTTATATAAGTAACCAATTAGTGTTCTGTATAAATTAACGCCTAATAGTTGTACAGTATGTATAAAAATTCGAGAGAAAATAATACAATTGCCAGACAGTGGTGTAGGTGGTGTTGGTGGTGGTAGTGGTGCTGGTTTTGGTGGTGGTGCTTGTGGTATCGTTGGTGGTGGTGGTGGATAGTGGACCACCACCAACACCGTCGTCACTTATACCATCACCATGACCAGCATCACTACCACAGTCATTACATCACTACCACTACCATCATCAACACCACCCGTACCGCCACTGCCCACTACCACTATCACAGCCATTACTACCACCACCTGGTTGTTTGTACTCATGAATACGTTGTCTTACGAAAAAAATCATATTATATATTTATATCAAATGATATTGATATAAATAAATAATATGGAGCTTCTGTAAGAATATCCTTAAAATTCTCTAAGAGATACACCCGGTTTTTAACAGTAAATTGTACGTATTTTCTCAATATTCGCCGCTTTAACCTATACATCAAGATTCCTTAAGACTACTATGAAAATTAGCAAAATATACAGTTTTTGTTAAGATTCAATTTAAGTTAAAATAAATAGACATGTTGTAACGAGTATATTAATTTAAGTTCATAAATATTATCAACAATAATAATGTGCCATTTGCTGTAGAGACTATCGGTCCGTGGGGTCCACGTGCAATGAAGTTTCTAAAGGAACTGTATCCACGACTGGTCGTCGCTGCTGGTGATAAGAGGGCTGGTTCTTTCCTCGCTCAAAGGCTAAGTATAGCTATTCAGCGAGGAAACGCAGCCAGCGTTCTTGGCACTATACCACGGGGAGCAGGTCTTTTTGACGATTTAAATTTTTAGTTTTAGATTTTCTATATTATAGTTTCTTCTTTTATGTTGTATATAATTAGTTTTAATCTTTAATATTATAATTTTAATTCATTATTTTTGTTAAGATTCTTTATCTATCTATAGACTTTTGTAACGGTATATAATTTAAGTTACAATGAAATCACATGTTGTTTTATACTATATAATATTGTTATTTTTCCCTTAAATTTTTCTCATTCATCAGGTGACAAGTGACAACCCCATCAAAATAGGTATACATTTTTAACGTTGTTAGGAAGCTTCCCCTCTGGTTCATAGTTCTTACTCTGTGATATAACCGCGCGAATCGGTTGCACTACTACAAGCACGCGAGGCATGTGTGCGTGACCACTGCCGCTTGTCACGTACACGGCTAGACTGCAAAAACCGGTGACGCTCGCGCAACCAGTTGACAAATATTTGTCAACTGGTTTTAAATAGTTTGTTTCGTTAGTTGCAAGTTTGAATATTTTAATGTAAAAACGTGGTATTATTAATAATGGTTGTTTATTGTACTGTGTGTATGAATAATATTAAAAATTATAAAAATATATCATATATCTCAAGATAAGTAAATATTTGATTATTATTTTTTCAAGTATGTGCCTTTATTTTATTGTATGAAACTTTTTTTTAATAAGAAGAGGGTACTACTCGATGTGTTTTTACCTTTTTACTGTTATTATAATATATTACTAATATATTATGTAGGTATGTGGGTGGGTTGGTATGTAGTAGGTACGCGTGTTAAGTTCACATATTGCAAGTAAGATTTAAACCACATGTTGTGTCTGATTGAGTTGAAATTTTGTACACCGTAACTTCAGTGACAATGAAACAATATGATAGATATAGCCTGGTGCTGCAGCCAAAGATTTTCTCCTCATTAGGGAACTCTTCAACGAGTAGCGCAGGGTCACGAAATTTTGTATGTTAGTATAATTTTGATAGTTTGTCTCCTTACGAGGGTACTCTTTAACGGTTAATAGCATGGACTCTTTGCTAAACATGATCTTCCCCATAAACTGCTGCTGGAGACATGATAGTCTCCTAACGAAGGAACTCCTCAACAGCTATAGTAAATTTTATGTTAGATTAAGAATTTACCACACCATTAAAAGAAACAATAAATTATAAAAAAACACAAAAATTATAAAAAAAATATATTAAAGTAAGTAATTTGTAAAGTCTTCTATCATACTGAATAATAAAACTATTTAATAAATGTTTTGTTTAATTTGACTTCACATATTGTGACAATCCTACCAAAATAGGTAACAATTTTGCCCGTTGTTAAGAAGCTTTGTCTCCCTTCCGTTTGTCCTACTCATGTGCTATTATGATATCGGTACAATGGGGTGAATAGAAACAAGTCTGTTTATTTATATAGTCCCTAGGTTTTTCAAGATTGCCAACATAAAGGAAAAATGTTAGCATATCTGTAGAAAAACCTAGAGACAACTTAATCAAATAACCAGACTTGTTTCTATTCACCCCGTGGTTAATATGAACCCAATTTTACGGTACTAGGTAGCTCGCTACTTGTTAGCTATTTTATGCTACACTTAGTGCAAAAAATCAACACAAATGTGAAATTACTTTGTTTAGTTACTTGTCTCAGTGATCTGAATTGAATTTGTGTTATACTTTCGTTTTATTTTTTTGTTTAAAATTGCGATAGATTACAGCAGCGAAGTAAAATACGATAATTATATTTTGGAAAAATAGGCCTACTAAACACGATCACCTCGAGTACAGTAACATAAGTAACTTTTCAATCATTACCAACATGATTTGAAAAATGCTTTCGATTTTCAAAAGATGTCGTTACAGAGTCACGTAAAGAGTATATAAATCACTATGCATAAATTATTATTATAAATTGATACTATTGTACAATTCAATTATACCAATCTTTAGTTTTGACCATTTGACGTTTCCATTCATAGCGCCAAAGCGCTATAGCGCCATAGCGCCATTGCGGCTGCTTACATAACACGCGCGATGCGCTATGGAAAGATCTATAATATGGCGTTATGCGTTATATTAACCATTACTAGTTTGTTTTTTTGTCAGTGAAGTTGCATCTAAACGTTTATCAATTACAGCTCCCCATTTAATGCTATGCGTATGAACTATAAAAAGCTTTTTGAATATTGTTCATGAAATAAATGTATTGCCATACTGAACGCCTTAAGATACATCTTTTTTATCATAAATCATAACGTTACTTTTGCTATTTAAGAATGTAACGTTTGTAAGTACGGGCATAAGAGCCTCGCAATGACCCCAAGCCGGCGAACTTGCTAAATAAATTCATTAATAGAAACATAAACTTCGTCTTAATTTTTGGATTTTGATAGATATCGCTATTATCTATATAAATTATACACCATTTTAATAGTGAAAATCACAATATTCAAAGAAAATCGTAAATATAATTAGACTAGCCATCCTCCCCTGCTACGCACGGGTGATTTCTATATCACAACATACCAATAATACTAATAATACCAAACAGCAGAAACAGCGTCACATACCGGGCCTTAGCGAACGTAAAACATTCTCGAATCAACTTAGTCACACACACAAAACTTCATTAAAATCGGTCCAACCGATTAGGAGTTCATTCATGTACACATGGACAAAAGAATTATGTATATTATTGAGATATATAGATTAAAATTTATAGTATATTTATTTTAATTTTTTATTTTAATTTTTATTATAATAGAAAGAAAGCGATAAAATTCGTATTGTTTTATTCAATGATGTGATATTCCTAGAATTTTAAAACACTCGTATTTTAGACATTTGATAGTTTTGTACACAGATGAAATAGTAATGGGTCTGTTATTTAGCTCAAAGAACCAGCAACTGAAGGGAAAAGATTCTCCAGTGAAGCCTCGTGCCGGCAAACAGAGTACAGTTACTGAATGATGTAGTGTAAAGCGATTTTTAAACAGGTAATGGGAGGCAGTCAAGAATTTAATGCATGCAGATAACTCTGAATAATTATAATTATTGAATAATTATTTACCAAAAACCGAAATAAAAACTACCTACCTATAGGGGAGGCTGCCTATTTAGAAAAGGTATATTAGTTTTGATCTAGGCTTATATTACCTACCTGGTTGGTTCATCCAGGAACATGACGGGCGGGTCACTGACTAGTTCCAGACCTATGGCTAGTCTTTTTTTCTGACCTCCGGACAAGTTAACGGCTCTAGTGTTCCTTGTTGGTGTCATACCAAGGGACGTGATAATCTCCTCTACCTGGAATATGAAATACCTTCATAATTTTTTTAGTAAATAATTCCATAAGAATTATTTTAAATATTTTTTTATATTCAATAAATAATTATCAATTATGTTGATAAACTTTTACTTAATGATTAATAGTTACAGATGATTTCTCTTTCACCTATTAAGACTCTCTTACAAATATCAATTGAGTTGAAAAAATAAAAATAGGTTATAAATAATAATAATAATAATAATAATAATGGATAGACTACAGAAAGGCATTCGACTGGATAGACTACAGAAAGGCATTCGACTCGACTCGGTGCCCCATACATGGCTAAAGAGAGTCCTCGAGCTGTACAAGAAGACTGTACAGTTAGAGACTTCCTCGAGCAGTGTATGGGGCAGTGGAGTACGATCCTTTGTCATCTGGGCTAGCGGATGACGGCTGCGGAGAACCACATAAGGATAAGAAGGGGTATCTACCGGGGCGATTGTCTAGGTCCAATCTGGTTCTGCTTCTCTCTGAACCCTCTCAGTACCTTACTGGAGGGCTCCGGGAGGGGATTTCAGCTACGGAAAGGAGGGACAAAAGTGACCCACCTTTTCTATATGGATGACCTCAAGTTATTCGCCTCCAGTCGCTCCCATCTTATGGAATTGCTAAACATCACTTGTGAATTTAGCAATTCCATTGGAATGGAGCTGGGGACGGATAAGTGTGCGGTCCTCCATGTTGAAAGGGGAAGGGTTACTAACTCTGAGGGCATAGACTTATCTATGCTCGTCAACTTAAGAGCCCTTTCCGAGGCTGAAACATACCGATACCTGGGTATGTCACAGAACATCGGTGTCGATGAGGCTGGTATGAAACAGTCAGTTTCCGACATGTTTTATGCACGCTTGACCAAAGTCCTTAACAGCCTTTTGTCCGGTGTGAATAAGGCACACGCATATAGCGGCTGGGTCATGCCTGTCCTCATGTATACCTTTGGCATACTCAGGTGGACTCAGACTGAACTTAAGGCCCTGGATAGAAAAGTCCGCACTACCATGACGTCCCATAGGATGCATCATCCGAGATCGTCAGTAAAGAGGCTGTACTTACCGCGAAAGCTTGGTAGGCGTGGCTTCCTGAGCGCGCTCACCATGCATAATCGCGAAGTGTGCAGCCTCCGTGATTACTTCCTGGCGAGATCGGATGATCCATTCTATAAGGACGTCTTTTCTTGTGATAAAGGACTTACCCCTCTATCCTTAGCCAACGAGCAATGGCAAGACCCGGCAGTGCAAAGCATTTCCGACCGGGAGACCGTATGGAAGGAGAAGGAGCTCCACGGGAGGTTCTACAAGGCTCTATATGAGCCTTTCGTAGACACAATAGCCTCCCTCCACTGGCTACGCTTTGGTGATCCCTTCGGGGAAACCGAGGGTTTTGTCTGTGCAATACAAGATCAGGTTATTAAGACCAACAACTATCGGAGATACATCCTAAAGGATGGGACCGTCGACATCTGTCCAGCTTGTCGCCATCTCGGTGAGTCACTTAGGCATGTCATCTCCGGTTGTTCGGGCTTTCTAACTCTGAGTACTTGCACAGACACAACCTAGTAGCCAGAATTCTTCACCAGGAGCTTGCTCTGAAATACGGTCTCGTGGATCGGAAATTGTCGTATTACAAGTACTTGCCAGAAGCCGTGCTCGAAAATGATCGCGCCAGGCTCTATTGGGACCGGGCCATCATCACAGACAGGACTATTCTTGCGAATAAGCCTGATATTGTGCTAATTGACCGGGCACAGTCAAGGATATTTTTGTCGACATTACCATTCCGTATGACGAGAACCTCGTGAAAGCCGAAACAGATAAACGAACAAAATATCTGGACCTGGCTCACGAGGTGACCGACATGTGGGGTGGTCTGCCGACCGAAATTATTCCTGTAGTCGTCTCGGCAAACGGGCTAATCCTAGTCAGCCTCTCGGGTCATCTGAGGCGGCTGGGACTACATGGCGGACCGCTCCAGGCTCAAATGCAGAAGGCGGTGCTCCTCTATACCGCCCGCATCGTCCGCCAGTTACTTTCCCTTTCTCCCTAACCCTCGGCCGTTTGATCTCCCCTGCCGAGGGCCTCCATTTGGTTGGGCTTTTATTTATTTATGTATTTTTATATTTATTTAATTTTATTGATATTTATGTATATTTATCTTTTCATTTCCATTTATAATTGTATATTTATAGAACCCAACCAGATGAGAAAACTATATTGATACCCCCCAATAATAATTAGATATATATATATATATATATATATATATATATATATTATTATTATTATTATGTAGATATACATATTGGATATATATTTAATAATATTAGATATATAAATAAATATAAGATATCTCAGAGTATAATAATTTTGACCAACATTACGATTGCGCGGAAATTATTTGCTGGTGGAAATCACTCGTCAACTTCGTTTTAGTACTATATTTTGTAAACTAATAAGATTTCAATGTCAAAAGACATCTGATTTAAGTCAATACTGGTAGCTCAGAAGAGCCGTGGTAGCTCAGATGGTTAACGCTCGGTGTAAACATAAAAACGCGAGTAACCCGGGTTCGATCCACGCCGGCACCAATCAAATTGTTAATTGCAATTTTAAGTGCTGATTTACCACGTGCTCGGCGGTGAAGGAAAACATCGTGAGGAAACCTGCATATCTGAGGAATAAGGAAAAATATTTCGAAGACATGTGAAGTTCGCCAACACGTATTGGGGCAGCGCGGCGGACACTCCCTTGCTCTAAAACCCTCTCAGAAATGAGGGGAGGCCTGTGCCCAGCAGTGGGACGTATATAGGCTGTAACTTTACTTTACTTTTTTATATTTACACAATAGGTACAACAAAACCAAACTTCAAACTAGACTTTCAACAAGAGTTATACTCCTCTCTATATCACGTTATTCAGTTTATTTCAATTTTTTAATGCATCTATTGAATTAATGACAATGTTACCTGTTGACAAGCAGGTTATATATACCATTAAAATGCAAATTTTATAGTATGATATATCGGGATTTATTATTTCATAATAGTTACTAAATTATGAGTTATTAGTTAAAATGAAAATAAACAAACCCGCTGTTTTTTTTGCTGTATGCTTATATGATTTCCTAGTTTGAGTTCAGCTGCGATATGGAGCGATTCCTGGACCGTTAACATGTCTTGAACTCTGTCGTCTTGTAGTATGTAGCACGATCGTCGCATAAACATCTTAGGGTTTCTAATACGGCCATTAACATATAGGTAACCGCTTGACGGATTTCTGAAATTTGAAAGAGATTTAAAAATTAATCAACTTTATCATTATATTGAGTGTTCATTAAGCACACATATTATGGATGTGTTTCATGCTCAAATACAATCATATACACAAAACGGTGTTTGGTTGATTGATAATAAAATGTCAATTACAATATACATATAAATATTATTGAAATAATGGGTGCGTTTGGCAGAAAAAAGCGCTAGCAAGCGCTTATAAGCAAAATGGCGATCGTAAGCGGTAAGCGCTGTCAAATCGTAAGTAGCTATTTTCCTCTAGGACACGGTGTTAGTTTTAACCGGGGAACCTAACCAAATTTAAATATATGTTTGTGAAGTATTCATATTACAAACTTACCAATCATGAACTTTTAATAACATGTATATGTCTATTCATGTCATTATATTACTTAAAACTAATATTGCAAAAAACAACTTATAAACTCTACTTCAAAACAAACAAATTAAATAAGCAAAATGGCGGATTGTGTCAGCGCTACTGAAGTAGCAATCGTGTCCTGGCCGAAAACTATTTTAGCGCTAGTAAGCGCTTGCTAGCGCTTTTTTCTGCCAAACGCACCCAATATATGAAATATTAGCGAAGGAACTGAAGTAGGCCGTTTCCTTATATTTCACCTTCAATTGTTCACCTGTTAGTCTGCAGTCTGTGATCAAAACAAGTGGGCCACTAACGTTTTGTTAGATTTTTTTGTTGTAAATGTGAAGTGATGAACGAACATACAATCCAACTGATGATCGGTGGCTGCTGCAGTCTACGGACACCGGCAACCATCTTCAAACAAAAAAGGCCATAGATACGTTGTCACTTTTGAGATGTAAGATGGAATTCCTCACAGCCGGATGTTATACTGACTCTTTACAGCAGCGCAAGTAATTACCGCTGCTATTTGGCTGCAGATATAAATCAGATGGTGGTATATAACCAGGCGGGTTCAATAGTATGCAACAAAATATAAATTTAATTAAATTCTCATAATATTATTATATAAAGTTCAATAGCATTTATGTAACGATAATTTTAACTATTACGTGGTAGAACCACGCTGCAACTATATTATAGTTGTAGCACGAATGGGTCGGTCGGTAGGACCACGCTCTCACAGAATACCAGCGTAAAATAGCAGCTAAATGCTGCTGTTTCCTATTGTGAGTGTAGAGAACCAGTGATACTTTTTACTGGAAACAATGCATTCCATCGTAGTCTTCACGGGTGACAACGAATCTACGTTTTTATTCTTAATGTAGAAGTCTATGGGCCACAGCATCCACTTATCATCATGTGCTCGTTTGTCATCCCATTCTATAAATAAAAAAATAACTATAGTACGTGAAGGTTAATATGGTCATCCAGTTAATATGGTCACTTTCTTTATAATTCAAAAACTACAGACTTGTTTGCATCTTAGATGGCTTTGTATTACAATCGCAACAATCAGTGAATCAAATATCAAAGGGTCAAAAGGGCACTGTTTCATCGACGCCATTTTGACAGTTGATATTAAAGTAAATGTTTTAGTCGATTTTAGTATTGTTTGTGTCGTATATTTCGAAGTGTTCCTAATTATTGGGAGCTTGTTTGCTATTTTAGTTACAGTATAGTATACTAATATATTAGTTATAGTATACGACTTCGTATTTTTGTCTCTATCCTCCTCTTAGTTTTGGTTTTATAGGGCAGCAAAGGTTAAGGTGACCATGTTACCCTCACGTACCAACCTTATTTTACAAATGCAGCCCAGTCTCAGGTTTATAGACTACTATGAATAACTGCTATAATTTAACCTTGGTTACAAATCGTACGAACGAGTGAGGTCAGTAAATTAGTACTTCCTTATAATCTAGATTATTTCAAGTTTTACGGTATTAAGTAAATCTGTTTTTATATATAGTCACAATTTTTTTTGGCTTACGAGGACCATATAAATCAAAATAATAGTTACCTACAACTTTTAACAAAAAGTAAAAACCGTCTTTCAAATTGCTAAAATAGAATTTTTTTCAATTTTCTACACCTAGGGTTGGATTTTTTTGGACCACCCTTGAAGTATAACCTATTTAATAAAAAATAATCATTAAAATTGACTTACAAAGTCAGGTCAGTCAGTCAGTAGCGACGTAACGTACCTTAGTCAAAAAACATACACTCGAATTCAGATCTTTTTTGAAATTCAGGTTAAAAATTAAATACGATCATAATGTGTAGTACCTATGTCTATCAGAGACTTTCTTGCTATTTATACTACTATTACTCGTAAAAAATTCCGGCATTTATCAATATTGCGAAAGTTAAGATGGTTTTTAGATTAAGTATACAAATCATTAATATTTGTAGATATGTGGCATTCTGTAACGGTAAGTCCTGACCCTTCTCGCTCCCAGGACACATTGTTAGCGTACCTGTCTCATTCTGTGTAGCTAGAATACCAAAATTAATTAAAAGTTAATTATCAAGGCCAGGATTAATTATACCTTTAGGGCGTAGAACATTTCGGCTTCAACATGACTGTGTTGTTAAGCATTCGAAACATTAAGAATTACTTACAAAGTATTATTACATATATTAATATGTTTATAATTTATTTAATAAATTCAAAAAATGGATTTTATTTAGTGTGCAGTATTCGCATAAATAAAAGAAATCACAAGTTTTTCCAATGTACAATGTTCTATGTATCGAAATGTTGACGTGATCACATTCAGTCACTGCCAATTCAGATTCCGATAACCATTACAGTTAGTTACATTACGAGCTTTTCTTAATCAAATGGCGCTCATTTTAAATAAAAAAATATTTGTGGCTAATGCAAAGATTTTTATGTACCTAGGTAGAAAGAAGCCTTTGGGCTAAACTGAGTTTATTAAGCAAGCTATTCTAATTCGATTTATATTAATGACCTGGTATCGATAATGGACAGATTCCTCAGGTAATTAGTTGATTAACAAAAAAGAACTTCCGTGTGGAAACCAATTATTTTATTTTTCGTAAAAAGTTATGCACGAGTTAGCTTGGCGTCGTTGTACTCAGTGCACCTACTTATAAGTGCGTGCGTACTAAGCGAATCATTTAACATATTAATTATTTATTTTCTTTTATACGCAGTACTTATACACCAACGACGTCACAGATACTAACGATGTTACGTGGCCAATATATTTTTATGACACACATTTTTTGAGAAAGAAATATTTTGGTTTAACGATAATGACCCCTCCAATAAAAAAATATTTTTTTTTCATTGGAGGGGTCATTACGCTACTTGATAATCATCTGGATCAGACATTATTGTTCTGAGTTATTACTATTGCAATTTATTGACATGATACCGTCTAATAAATCGATGAACGCCGGCTGCACGCACGAAAAAGGATGACTAAATTACTACGGAGTATTTTGCGTAGGTGTGTTTTTTGTCCTTTCCAATAGTGGAATTATCCTTATTACCTTTGCTGAAGTATCCGCTGCGTGAGAGACAATTTAATATGAGCAATTAGACAGCCCCCGGGGCGCTGGGGCCGCGGGGGGAGACAATACTAGGATAACTAGGCTTTTCTATAAAAATATGAAGCTTTGATAAATAATTTAAGTTAATAAAATATTTCTTAATAGTATAAGGTTGAGAAATGAGGACAAAGTCCAACTAATGATAACGTAACGCTCATTGTAAAGTGACGATCGGAGCGAGAGCGCTGCACGAGCGAGCAAAAGGCACGATCGGCTTGAGCGTAAAAGTAAAGAATCATGTCCAGTCTTGACCTGAAAATTTTCTAACGCATTTAGTGATGTAAAATATCTTATAAAATTGCAATTTTTTTTCTTATTTCGTATTACATAATTAAATTTTCAAATAAAGCCAGGAAAAAAGTAATGTTACCTTGTTTATAATTTTCAATAGAGTTTTGGTGACGGGACGTGTTTTACAATGGCTCAAAGGCCCAGATGCCATGCCAAAATATATCTAAAACGTATTTTACACGTTCCGTTTCAGACTACGAAAAACTTGTTCATTCGTTATGAGGTTTATATGTTCAAAATAACCAATTTCTTTTTTTAAAACTTATTTATTAAGGAGCTAAAAATAAATGATATAAACCTAACAAACCCTTACGATATAGCAACCGTTTTTAATGACTATTTTATTGACATGACTAATTATATTATAACTAATAATGATAACATGGTTTTTCTTAAACTTATGTCGAAAGATGAGGTGAGTAAAGAAATCATGTTTTTAAATAATACTGCCTCGGAAGGTTACGACGGAATTAATACCAGAATAATTAAAGCTTGTGTATGCGAACTTGTTGACATTATGACTTATTTAATTAATTTATCATTTTTGACAGAAAAATTTCCCGACAATTTAAAAATTTCAATTGTAAAACCAATGTACAAAAAAGGTAAAAAAAACGATATCAACAACTATCGACCGATTACTCTTATACCTATAATATCAAAAGTTTTTGAGAAATGTTTTTATAAGAGATTAATGGAATTTTCTGAGAGGTTTAACATAATCAAAACAGAACAATATGCCTTCCAGAAAAAGAAATCTACAACGCTAGCAACTTTTAATCTTATAAAAACAATAATTTCTAGCATAAATAATAACCTACTAACAACAGGATTATTCTTTGATTTAAGGAAAGCCTTTGACTTTGTCACACATAGTTTTCTTTTAAGTAAATTAGATTTGGTTGGAATTAGAGGGATAGCTCTAGAGTGGATTTCATCTTATTTATCAAATCGACGGCAGTGTGTCGTTATTGATAAAATGGTAAAAAATGAAATATTATCCTTCTCATCTAAGTACAGAGAAAAAAAATATGGTGTTCCTCAAGGTAGTGTTTTAGGGATATAACTCTGGTCTGACGACATATCACAAATGTATATTTTATGCGAACGATATTTCCGTAGTTGTAACATCTCAAAAAAACAGTTAATTCATTAGATAATCATGAAAAGGAAATAAATGACACAATCGATAATATAACTATTTGGCTGCATACAAACAATATGAAAATAAACCTAAATAAATCAAATTACACACATTTTAATAAAATAAAAACTAATTCTAGTCTAAATATCATTAAATTAAGGAAATAGAACAAATTAAATTTCTTGGTGTAATTATAGATCGAAATTTAGACTGGAAAATACATATAGATGACCTATGTCAAAGAGTTAATCGTTTTGTGTATGCACTACGTACCATAAAAAAGGTAACTAATAAAAAAACGGCCCTATTATGCTATCGGGCGTATTTTGAATCTATACTTCGATATGGTATAATAATGTGGGGTAATAGCATAGATTAGCGTAGGGCATTTATCGCACAAAAGAAGTGTATAAGGACGATATGTGGTATGCCAACTAGAGAATCCTGTAAGCCAATATTCAAAAATCTGTCTTTACTAACTATGGCCTCGTTATGTATTTTTGAGATAGGTAAACTTGTAAAACAGCATACATATTTATTTAAAAAGTCATCTGATATTAATCCTAAGCTTAAAAGAAATCCAAATAGATTAGTTCTAAGCGAAGTTCCGAAGTCAGCTAAATATAGTAAATGCTGTTTATCAATGTGTGTACGTATATACAACAAAATACCCGATGAAATTAAAACACCACATAATATGAACGTATTTAAAAAAAAAGATTGTACCATTGGTTAATCGACAAAAATATTTATGACATTAATGAATATCTGCCATTTTAAACTAGATTTTGACATTGTAAAACATAATTATAATTTAAATAAACATGTTTAATTTGTTAATTTTAATACTATATAGGTAATCTTGATTTAAATGTAATTTGCATGCTATATTACATTAAAATAGCAAAACATGTGGGCATAATAAAACTCTGAAACATCTGGATAATTACCATGTTTTATGCAAATAAAGACTATTATTATTATTATTGGGTTATCAATAGAGTATTGATTTATTCTGTTTTAATTCTCTTGTTTATAATTGAGTATTAATTTCTGATTGAGCTGGATAAATTTATAAAGGGAAAAATAAATATACTTAAATATATATTTAATATAATAACATAAATAAATAAATAATACATAAATAAATAAAAGCCCAACCAGATGGAAGCCCTCGGCAGGGGAGACCAAACGGCCGAGGGTTAGGTGGAAAGGGAAAAAACAGGCGGACGATGCGGGCGGTATCGAGGAGTACCGCCTTCTGCATTTGAGGGAGGCGACTGTATCTACGAAGGGCTCATGTAGAGCCCTGTAGTACCTTCCGTGGAGCTCCTTCTCCTTCCATACGGTGTCCCGGTCGGAAATGCTAAGCACTGCTGGGCCCTGTCATTGCTCGTGGGCTAAGGATAGAGGGGTAAGCCCTTTATCACTAGAATTGACGTCACCATAGAAGATCTCGGCAAGAAGTATTGACGGAGACTGCACACTTCGCGATTATGCATGGTGAGCGCGCTCAGAAAGCCATGCCCACCATGCTTTCGCGGCAAGTACAGCCTCATTACCGACGATCTCGAATGATGCATCCTATGGGACGTCATGGTAGTGCGGACTTTTCTATCCAGGGCGTTAAGCTCAGTCTGAGTCCACCTGAGTATGCCAAAGGTATACATGAGGACAGGCATGACCCAGCAGTTATATGCGTGTGACTTATTCACACCGGACAAAAGGCTGTTAAGCACTTTGGTCAAGCGTGCATAAAACACGTCGCAAACTGACTGTTTCATACCAGCCTCATCGATACCGATGTTCTGTGACATACCCAGGTATCGGTATGTTTCAGCCTCGGAAAGAGTCCTTAAGTTGACGGGCATAAAGTCTATGCCCTCAGAGTTAGTAACCCTTCCCCTTTCAACATGGAGGACCGCACACTTATCCGCCCCAGCTCCATTCCAATGGAACTGCTAAATTCACAAGTGATGTTTAGCAGTTCCATAAGATGGGAGCGACTGGAGGCGAATAACTTGAGGTAATCCATATAGAAAAGGTGGGTCACTTTTGTCCCTATTTTCCGTAGCTGAAATCCCCTCCCGGAGCCCTCCAGTAAGGTACTGAGAGGGTTCAGAGAGAGGCAGAACCAGATTGGACTCAGACAATCGCCCTGGAAGATACCCCTTCTTATCCTTATGTGGTTCTCCGCAGCCATCATCCGCTCGCCCAGATGACAAAGGATCGTACTCTACTGCCCCATACACTGCTCGAGGAAGTCTCTAACTGTACAGTCAATCTTGTACAGCTCGAGGACCCTCTTTAGCCATGTATGGGGCACCGAGTGGAACGCCTTTCTGTAGTCCATCCAGGCGGCAGAGAAGTTCCGACGGTTGCGTTTCACCACTTTGCCTATGACCGCGTCAATGAGGAGTGGTTCCTTGGTTCCACGACCACCGCCCCGACATCCAGTTTGAGCGCGTGACATCACCTGGTTTAGCTCCAGGTGACGAGTGATTCTCGCGCTCAAAATGGATGTCAGTGTCTTATATATGGTGGGTAGACACGTGTATTTGCTCGGATCTGTGGTATCCTGATCTTTAGGAACCAAGTGAGTGATCCCAGTAGTGAAGAGGCTCGGGAGCGACTTCTAATCGAGAGCCTCTTGAAACTGTCGGGCGAGCACAGTTTGACACACTACGAACCACTTCAGCCGGTAATGATGCAGCCCGTCGAGCCCCGGACTTTTCCAGTTCGGGGCCCTACGGACCGCCTCAGCCACGTCTTCAGGCGTTATGGTGACGGGGTCCAATGATTTATAGAGCCTCTTCTGATCACTCTGGAAGAGAGGATTCTGGTTGAACCGCCTTGACCTCTCGCTAAATCGTCGAATCCGCTTCCCCCAAGCAGCGATTTTTTGCTTCAGGTCATTTATGCGCTCCGTTAGTTTCTGCGTGATATCCGGCTGGGACAAACTAATATTTGTCCCAGCAAACGCCATTCTAACGGTGCGCACAACTCTCGGTCTATTATTACCCGACCTGAAGCTTGTCAATCTGCCGATAAGGGCCCTTGCCTTTGCGATACGGTTCTCAATTCTTTTTCTCCAGGCTGGGATGGCGCTACTTTTTTGAGTAGCACGTCCAGCCATGGGAAGTTTGGCGCCAATAATACGGCATACTGCCAGTGCGGCGCCAAAAAGAATTGAGTCGTCTCGCAAAGGTCCGGGCTGGCTTCCAAACGGGTCACCAGCATTGGGTTAAGAGCTCACACGACAGCCTGATTTCGCTTGCTAAGGGGTATGCGAGGAAGTCGCGGTCGATTTTCGAGGGGCATGCTGCGCGTTTCCAGCGTCGACTCTTCCAATATGCTCCTCATTTTCTCTAGTTCGTGGGATACTATTCCATCATCGTCTGAATTAGCCACAAGTGGAATATTGACGGCAGCATCCACATATGCAGTTTGTTGCGCATCTAGTGGCGCCGCATTCCCAGCCGTAGCATTTCCATTCGATTAAGGAATAGCCTCACGTTGTAGTCGTTCGAATTCGGCGTCACCAAATATGTTGGAGGATGTACCGAACTCGCTCTGCCAGGTTTTGCTAGGTGACGGATAGAGATAGCTCCAGCTCTGCAAAAAAGCGATGCATCCGAGCCCGATACGCCAAACATCCAGTTTCTTCCCCTTTTGTCCTAAAATAAGCCCGCAGTGCGTTTGCGTTGATTAATTTTGACCAACGCGTGCGACGTGCTCCACCAGCGGCGGGTGCCGCTTGCTGAGTCCAAGAAGACCCAGCCGACACCAAGCCTTTTTGTGGGGATGATGGATGGGGGGTGGTCTTGCAACACCCCGCGCTCGGCTGGCGGCCCGTATGCTGTCGCGCCCAGCGCCAGCTCCAGACGCGCCCTGGCGACCTCCAGGCAGCGGCCCTTTGCGCACTTTCTTTTTTTCCATCATCCATGATTTGGGCGTCCATTAACGGGAGACGCCCAGGCCCGGCACCGTATCGTGGACGGCCATAAGCACAAACGGGCCTTTACACCCTGAATTCTGCCGAGGCACGGCACTCACACCTCTCGCAAGGCGCTGACTGACTGCGTTGACGTAGCAGTTTTGTCACTTAACTGTTACGTCAGCGGGCGATGGGGTCGTCAATTCCGTACGCCACTTTTATTATTATTATTATTGGGGGTATCAATATATTATTATTATTAGGGGTATCTGTATAGTTTTCTCATCTGGTTGGTTTCTATAAATATATAATTATAAATTAAAATGAAAAGATAAATATACATAAATATCAATAAAATAAAATAAATACAAAAAATACACAAATAAATAAAGATCCAACCAGATGGAAGCCCTCGGCAGAGGAGACCAAACGGCCGAGGGTTAGGAGAAAAGGGAAAGAAACCGACGGACGATGCGGGCGGTATCAAGGACCACTGCCTTCTGCATTCGAGCCCGGAGCGGTCCGTCACGGAGTCCATTCGCAGAGACGACTACAGTAATAATTTCGGTCGGCCGACCACCCCACATGTCGGTCACCTCGTGAGCCAGGTCCAAATATTTTGTTCGCTTATCTGTTTCGGCTTTCACGAGGTTCTCGTCATACGGAATGGTAATGTCGACCAAAAATATCCTTGACTATGCCCGGTCCATCAGCACAATATCAGGCTTATTCGCAAGAATAGTCCTGTCTGTGATGATGGCCCGGTCCCAGTAGAGCCTGGCGCGGTCATTTTCGAGCACGGCTTCCGGCAAGTACTTGTAATACGGCACTTTCCGGTCCACGACCGGAGACCGTATTTCAGAGCGAGCTCCCGGTGTAGAATTCTGGCTACTAGGTTGTGCCTGTGCAAGTACTCAGAGTTAGAAAGCGCCGAACAACCGGAGATGACATGCCTAAGTGACTCCCCGGGATGGCGACAAGCTCGACAGACGTCGACGGTGCCATCCTTTAGGATGTATCTCCGATAGTTGTTGGTCTTAATAACCTGATCCTGTATTGCATAGACAAAACCCTCGGTTTCCCCGAAGAGGTCACCGAAACGTAGCCAGTTGAGGGAGGCGACTGTATCTACGAAGGGCTCATGTAGAGCCTTGTAGTAATTTACCTCCCGTAGAGCTCCTTCTCCTTCCATACGGTCTCCCGGTCGGAAATGCTAAGCACTGCTGGGTTCTACCATTGCTCGTTGGCTAAGGATAGAGGGGTAAGCCCTTTATCATTAGAAATGACGTCATTATAGAATGGATCATCCGATCTCGCCAAGAAGTATTGACGGAGACTGCACACTTCGCGATTATGCATAGTGAGATGCGTGTGACTTATTCACACCGGACAAAAGGCTGTTAAACACTTTGGTCAAGCGTGCATAAAACACCTCGCAAACTGACTGTTTCATACCAGCCTCATCGATACCGATGTTCTGTGACATACCCAGGTATCGGTATGTTTCAGCCTCGGAAAGGGTCCTTAAGTTGACAGGCATAAAGTCTATGCCCTCAGAGTTAGTAACCCTTCCCTTTTCAACATGGAGGACCGCACACTTATCCGTCCCCAGCTCCATTCCAATGGAACTGCTAAATTCACAAGTGTTGTTTAGCAGTTCCATAAGATGGGAGCGACTGGAGGCGAATAACTTGAGGTCATGCATATAGAAAAGGTGGGTCACTTTTGTCCCTCCTTTCCGTAGCTGAAATCCCCTCCCGGAGCCCTCCAGTAAGGTACTGAGAAGGTTCAGAGAGAGGAAGAACCAGATTGGACTCAGACAATCGCCCTGGAAGATACCCCTTCTTATCCTTATGTGGTTCTCCGCAGCCATCATCCGCTCGCCCAGATGACAAAGGATCGTACTCTACTGCCCCATACACTGCTCGAGGAAGTCTCTAACTGTACAGTCAATCTTGTACAGCTCGAGGACTCTCTTTAGCCATGTATGGGGCACCGAGTCGAACACCTTTCTGTAGTCTATCCAGGCGGCAGAGAAGTTCCGACGTTTGCATTTCACCACTTTGCCTATGACGTGGAGTGACTACTTACCTACTTAACCTAGGAGTACTTAACCTAGGAGTGGTTCCTTGGTTCCACGACCACCGCCCCCGACATCCATTTTGAGCGCGTGACATCACCTGGTTTAGCTCCAGGTGACGAATGATTCTCGCGCTCAAAATGGATGTCAGTGTCTTATATATGGTGGTAGACACGTGATGAGGCGGTATTTGCTCGGATCTGTGGTATCCTGATCTTTAGGAACCAAGTGAGTGATCCCAGTAGTGAAGAGGCTCGGGAGCGACTTCTGGTCGAGAGCCTCTTGAAACTGTCGGGCGAGCACAGCGTGACACACTATGAACCCCTTCAGCCAGTAATGATGCAGCCCGTCGAGCCCCGGACTTTTGCAGTTCGGGGCCCTACGGAACGCCTCAGCCACGTCTTCCGGCGTTGTGGTGATGGGGTCCATAGGCGTAACACTCGCACCCTGGCTCGCCACAACTTCCATCCAGGGGCCCTCGCTGTGGTTTACGGGCTCTGACCACAGGCCACGCCAGAATGCGATAATGTCAGCCTGATCCGGTCGTTGGCCCGCTCCACATACCTTTGGTCGCTCCAATGATTTATAGAGCCTCTTCTGATCACTCTGGAAAAGACGATTCTGGTTGAACCGCCTTGACCTCTCGGTAAATCGTCGAATCCGCTTCCCCAAGCAGCGATCTTTTGCTTCAGGTCGTCCATGCCCTCCGTTAGTTTCTGCGTGATATCCTGCTGGGACAAACTGATATTTGTCCCAGAAAACGCCATCCTAACGGTGCGCACAATCCTCGGTCTATTATTACCCGACCTGAAGCTTGTCAGTCTGTCGATAAGGGCCCTTGCCTTTGCGACACGGTCCTCGATTCTTTTACTCCAGGCTGGGATGGTGCTACTTTGTGTATTAGCGCGTCCAGCCATGGGAAGTTTGGCGCCAATAATACGGCAAACTGCCACTGCGGCGCCAAAGAGAGAGTCCGTCTCGAAAAGGTCCCGGCTGGCTTCCAAATAGGTCACCAGCATTGGGTTAAGAGCCCTCACGACAGCCCGATTTCGCTTGCTTAGGGGTATGCGGGGAAGTCGCGGTCGATTTTCGAGAGGGGTGCTGCGCGTTTCCAAAATCGCCTCTTCCAATATACTCCTCATTTGCTCTAGTTCGTGGGAGACTATTTCATCGTCGTTCGAATCAACCACAACTGGAAGATCCATGGCGGCCTCCACGTGTGGATGCTGGTCTGTCGAATGTGGAGCTGCATCTCCAGCCATAGCCGATTCATTCGACGACGGAATAGCCTCACGTCGTAGTCATTCGAGTTCGGCATCATCAAATATTTTCGAGCGCATGATGTACCGAACTCGGTCTGCCAGGTTTTGTTCCGTGACGGGGATAGAAGGCTTCAGCTCAGCAAAAAAGCAATGCATCCGAGACCTATACGCTATTCCCACAGTTTCTTCCCTTCGCCCTATAGTACGCCCGCAATGCGTTTTCGTTCATAGATTTTGTCCAACGCATGCGACGTGCTCCACCAGCGGTGGGTGCCGCTTGCTGAGTCCGAGAAGACCCAGCCGACACCAAGCCTTCTGGTTGGGATGATGGATGCAAGGAGCTGCTAGGTGATCGTGCAGCTCCTCGCGCTCGGCTGGCGGCCTGCATGCTGCCGCGTCCAGCGCCAGCTCCAGACGCGCCCCGGCGACCCCCAGGCAGCGGCCCTATGCGCGTTCCTTTCTGTGTTTCTTCCATCATCCATTTTATGGGCGCCAAATAACGGGAGACGCCCAAGCCCGGCACCGTTTCGTGGTTGGGTCGTATGCACAAACGGATCTTTGCACCTACAATTTTGCCTAGGCACGGCGCTCACACCTCTTGGCAGGATGCTGACTGACTGCGCCGACGTAGCAGTTTTGTCACATAACTGTTACGTCAGCGGGCGATGGGGTCGTCACTTTATTATTATTATTATTTATTATGATTAAATACGATTTTAATGGTTTTATACTATGGTGTGGAAAGAAAAATAAGTGTACAGACCTTAATTGACAGCTGTTATAACCACAAAATGTTATTTACTTAATAGCATTTTTCCCCGGCCTCTAAATGAAAAGATGATAAGTTATTATGTTATTATAAACAATAATTATTTTACACATCAGTAGTTGTAGGTAGACGCGACCTGTTAAAGAAATCAAGTGACAGGTCAATCCATGTATGGAAAGTGGACATGATTCT